TAACTTCCTCATGACTTAGTAGTGAGCCAACAAGCCTTTCAATTGATAAAACATTTAAGTCCTTTGCTTCTTCTATAGCTGTTCGTTTAGGCAGCCATTCTCTAGGAAGACTTCGTAGAATCTTTCTAACTAGATCTTTTGTTGGAAATGTTTTCCCTAAACCTTTTAATCTATTTATCAGGTCATTAAATCTCTTGTACATACTGGTTATAGACTCACCAGTGCTCATTTCAAACGATTCATATTCATTCAATAACACATCTATCCTACTTTCTTTAACTTCTGACGTACCTTCGTGGGTAGTCTCAAGAGACTCCCAAATCTCTTTGGCTGTCTCACATTGAGCCACTTGACTCCTCTCTTCTGGACTGAGTGCTGAAAAGAGGATATGCATTGCCCTCGAGTTCTGTTGAGAAGATAATTTCTGATCATCCTCCCATTTATCTTCTTGCTCATCATCCATAGGGATTGGCCCATTCTTGACAATTGCCCATAATCCGCCGTCGACACCTCGCAAGTAAATCCTCATCCTCTTCTTCCAGACTGTGTAATCCGTGCCGTCGAACCATGGTGGATTGGTGTTTGCAGAGTATGAAGCCGAGGCAGCCATGACTCCAGCCATGTCCTTGATCGTCTTTGGCGAAATTTAATCCTTCAAAGACCCAGCTCTGATACCAATTGTTGGAAATTTGAGACGAAGATAATCGGCTGGAACACAGTAAACAAACTAATTTATTGATCGAAAGAAGAAATTACAGCAGAGAGGCTATTAAACCACTCCGTGTCATGCCAACTGAGTTGGCACTTTGAAGACACACAAACAACAACACTCTTCCCAAGCTTGATCCACCCAGAATAATCACTATGAATCAAACTACTGAAGAAAAACAACCGGACTTAAGATAGCCTAAGAATTCTCCTGATTCTTTCTCTATCGATGCCAAGTTCTAAACGAACAATCATCATAAGTCTATTTATACCTAGAAATATGTCTTGACCGTTGCACTGGAATAGAGCCGTTTGATCTCCATCATGTCTTTGGTGGGATGTCGGTGATGTCTGTGCTTCATCACCGACGATCAGATTTGAGCTTTTTCGCCGCTTCTTGTAGGTAGGTGGGAGGCTATGATCGAGAGGCTAGGGTTGAGTGTATGATCAATTCTGCTCGATTCAGTAGACTTAGAAGGACGATGAAGCGAGTGACTGTTGGAGTCCAAAACGTCGTCGTGTGGAGCTTAAGCGCGCAGCATATCTTGTCGTATGAACTTGGGACGAAAACGTCACCGTATTGGAAGATGCCAAGTTCGTCATCTTTCATCAGGTTGGCCGGGCCCGACGACAAGGGACATGTTCGGGATGGTTCGTCTGTGGAATTGGGACAATGAATTGATGATACAACCTTACCGGACACAATAATTTGCCCGTACTTAGGTTATTTTTATTAAGAATACAAAGTATCAATTTGTAAATCATAATAAGTTTATGTAGATAGAATGTAAATAGGATAGAATAAGTACTAGAATGTAATATAGCTAGTTAGTTAGGACCCATAACGGTTTTTCCCTCTCTGTATAAAACCAACTACTCTGGGTGGATCATATACGTTTTTCTCATTCATTCAAGCATTAATCAGAAATCTAGCAATTTTGGCCATGTGGACTCAGAGAGGCGGTGGAGTCAATTAGTCGAAAGCAGTAGTGATAGCTGCTCCATGTTTTGGCCATGGTGATAGAAAATCTGACCATCAAAGGATGATGATAGCGTATGTCCTTTGGAAGATGAAGGGAGCAAATCTGCCCACTGATGGACGTCGCTGCCACTTCAACGGCTTTTCCTCTCTCATCCGTTTCTGCTTAGGTGACACATGAATGTTGGATCTGGAACTCGCTCTGCAGCGACTGCTAGGAGAGACGAAGATGGTGATGAGGCTAGTGGAGCATGTGAGGGCGGTGAAGATTTGGACGGCGCATCGTTGGTTCCGGCGCTCCTCGTCGCACGAGAGAGGAGGGAAAGAGGAGTGGTTTCGTGAGCGTGAGATGTGAATTCGTGGAGAGAGGGGCGGTTAAATTAGTATTTATATTAGGGTTTGAGAGTGTATAGACTAAACTATCCTTTACTTAATTCTGACCCTATGATTATTTTTTAATATAACGACTATTAGCTTAGTTAGTACGATGCTAACTCTTTACGGGTGTTTACACCAAAAAATTCAACTTGTACCACATTGGTGAGTTACAAGATAATCAAGGAATTTATAAGACCACATTAATTATAACAATTAATGTTGTTTAAGTTGAGACTTATGGATATTGATTTTAAGCGCAAGTTATTAATGAGCATGTACATGATTCACTAAGGGACATGAGCCTCTCATAGGAGGTCATACCATGCCACGAGATTGCATAAAAATATTCTAAGTCTGAGAATGACGTGCCACTTCAATGAGGAGGGACCATGTCCATCTAGAATTTAGAAGCACATGTCATCTCAAGGAAGACATCATGGAAACATGATCATGGCCCCCTCCGGTGCACAAAATATTCTGAGTCCGAAGAGGCATGTCCGCCTCAATAAGGAGGGCCATGTCCGTCTAGAAATCGAGGAGCACATGCCGCGTAGGAATGGCAATGGGGCAGGTCCGGGGCGGGTTTCTTGGTACCCAGACCCGCCCCGTGGCAGGGCGGGTCCAGGTCGGGTAATTGATCACGGGTCGCGAGTCGGGGCAGGTCGACCCAATGTGTATGCAATTTATTTGAAAAACATTAGAATATAAAACTAAGAAAATAAACAATATTATGACAATCTTAGTTAAATTATTGGAGAAATTGAGGTTTTCACTAATTTACAACTTTATTATAGCTAAAATATGATGCGATAAAAGTAAAAATTCAAAGTAATTTGACTAAGATTTCATGTAATTTTGACAAGAACGGGTCGAGGATGGGGCGGGTCAGGGCAGGTCGGGTCGATGAGACTACCCATGCCCCCCCGCCCCAAAACAGGTCAAACAGGTCGGGTAAAACGGGTCAGGTTGCCATCCCTAATGCCGCGCCACGACCAAGACCAAATGACTAAAAAAATAAACTAAGTCTAGAAGAGGTACATGCCACTTCATGGAGAAGCACGTGTCGCCTCAACAAGGAGGGCCTTGTCCATCTAGGATCTGGAAGCACACACCATCTCTACAAGGACACAAAAAATGACCAAGTCTGAGAGGTCCATACCACTTCACGAGAAGGGCATGGACGCGAGACAAGATGAGACGTCCATGTCGAGTCTGGAGAAGAGGCATGGATGCGAGACAAGAGGCCTAGGCATGGTTGAAAAATACTAACTATGAGAAGGTCATGCCGTGTCATGGGAAGTGCCACAAACATGACTGAGAAGTCCATGGCCGCGAATAAAAAGGTCATGCCGCCTCATGATCAAGACCGACCGACCCAAAATATACTAAGTCTGGGAAGGACATGCCACCTCACGAGAGGGGCCATGTCTATGATTGAGAGGTCCATGCTGCCTCATGAGAGGGGCCATGGACACAAATGAGAAGGTTGTGGTGATGGAGCACTATATCACTAGTGACTAAGTCCCTAGAGGGCCATGGACATGAGTAAGAAGTCCATGGCCATAAAGCAAGAGGACCATTACCCCTTTTCAAGACACCACATGCTCATCAAAAGACCAGCATGGCACGAGATTCAAAGCAAGACCAGGCGAGTCAAGATACACGACAGTTTATAGAGAAGTACCTAGGCAGTTGACAGTGGACCTGCTACTCATCCCACGTTCAAGGGACACGTCAGCCACGTTCCGGAGAAGAGGGAGCAGTTCTTTGTAACAGTTATCCAAGAAGCGATTTTCTACGACGGTCACCTCCTCGTGGCTATAAATAGGAGGAGGGGTCGACAGAGATTGGGGTTCCACAACCAAACATTTGACACCCAATGTCAAAACTTTATCCTTTTTCTCTGCAAGTAGCCATAGTCGTAGTTTGAAGCTCTCTTTGATCCTCCATAGGAGTAGAGGTAATTTAATGTAGATATGTTACCAAAATTCCATCAATCGAATACCCTCATCGAACTGTGTTTGAAGAGGTTTGAACCGTGTCTTAGTGATCGTTGTCTGAAGAAGTCAAAGGTGCAATCAATTCGATTTCAACACAAGTTTTCTCGTCGGAAAACATCGGGGTTAGCAACTAATCCCATCCCCGGCCAACATACATTGATATGTATGTTTACCCGTACAAATGGCTTAGGGTTAGACTCTTAGAGACTATGATAATGCACCTAATTGCATCGCACCAAATCGACGTTCAGATTCGGCCGAATATACTGTGATACAGTCTTTGGACTTATGAATTATATAAATACTAGAGAAAAATCGATTGAACTCATTTTTGAATTGTTTTGAATAAGACCAAATATAACGATGATCCGATCCTTGTTCTTAAAATTTCTTTTACTATTAGAATGCGATTCTCGTGGTTTGATTTGGTATTGTACAAATCGACCGTTGGTCCGTTGCACACTCGCGTTGAAGGGTTTCGAGCCGGGTTTGGGTTTAAACCCCGGATATCTTACCCAAACCCGGCTCGAAACCCTTCAGCGCAGTTTTACTCGCATTGACCGGGTTGGGTTGGGTTGGGTAGGATACCGTGGGTTCAGATTTTGTTGCCATCCCGATATGCAAGAACTCAAGCCGCGGGCCTCACATTTCCATGGCCCGGCTCAGCCAACTCGCTCGGCTCGAGAAAAGCCCATTAACAACCCGCCGTTTGGCCCTGCAGCCAAATTTCCGGCGAATCCGGAAAAATCCCCAAACATTTCAAAAAAAAAAAAAATCAATCCGCTCAGCGCACGAACAGGAAGACAAAGGGTGGGTCGTCGCTCCACTATCGTTTTGCTGAAGCTTTTCTCCATTGATTGTTGTCGGCCTTTCCGCTTCTACAACCAGTTTTACCACCGCGCCAAAAGATCCTCCTTCGAAGCTGAAGAGTAATCATGGAGAAAAACTTATTCAACGGCCGGATTTCACCTTCCACCTCCTCCGCCGGTGCTGGTTCCCACCACGCCGCGTCGGCGAGATCGGCTTCTCCTCCTCTCCAACCAAACTACAGTAGCCTGGCCGTTCAAGTAAGCAGCTCCTTTTCTCTCTACGGTCGCTGGTTTACTTAGATTGAATATAGAGCATTTTGGGTTCCGGAAGGCCTAAAACCTTATGTTGCGTTCATTGTTCGTTAGGGTTTAAGTGATGGTAACTTGGAGCTTACTTCTAATACTGTTGGAAGTTGATGTTGGTTTAGGTTTTAGGGCAGTCAAATTGTGTCATTTCCTTCTCTATTCAATTCGGTTAATGTCGGTAGGATTGCTCCACTATGAATTCCAGTGTTGGAGTGGTCGTGTTTAAACTGGGAGGTTCTGGGGAGGTGCTGCTTTCCATCAGAGATTTTGTTTGGCTTGGTAAAGTAGGAAAGACGAATGCCACATTTTGATATAGTGGTGGGTTGATATTTTACTCTCTTTCTATAATATTTTCAGAAGCGAAAACCTCACTTGGGTATTTAGGTATGATCCCCAGGGAATTGAAGTGGTATGATTGCACGTAATCTTTCGTTCACAGTTTGTTTATCTTAAGTTGGTTCTTGCTGTGAATTCCATTGGGCACTGAAGTGGGAAATTTAGGGCATTCATTTCGTGTCATTTGCTGTTATGCAATTCATTCAATGTTGATATATTGGATATTGGTCGAGTTCGAATTCCAGAATGTTGTTGTGTACCTGTTTAAACTCTGAGGTTCTGAGTGAAATGCTGCTCTTGGGGCTGTAGCGAGTATTATTTTTGCCAACCAAAGTTGTGAAAGACTTCAAAGATGTGATCTTTTGATGGGTTGTGATTTTTTCCCCTTCTATTTATATACTGTATTCAGAAGTGGAGCTAGCAAATCTAGGAAAGCATGACTACTTTAGGCATGATCTCCATTTCCTGGTGGTTGTATTCATGCTTGAGAGTCTTATGAATCTGTTTATGTGGAAAAGTGAGCTGACAAAAGCAGTTTTACAGACTGGTATTGAACTTTTGATACCTTATCTGGAAGGATGCCTTGCTCCAAGTTTAGTGTCATTCAGTAGACCGTAGTAGACTGTGTATTCTATTCTACCTACTATTCCTTCTTGGTCTTTGGTTTTGAAGTTTACATTTTGCTTATTTGTACGGAGATTGCTCGAACTAAATTTAAAAGTTTTAATTTTGATCCAAGTAGGCACTGTTTATGTCTATTTGAGTTTGAAATCTTCTTCTGGGAATCGGTATTCATAATTGCTTGTGCTTGAATATGTTTAGCCCCCATGATCTCTTAACAAACTGGTAGCTAGGCTACAAATTAGTCTCATTCTCGCTGTTATTCTTTCAGAAAGCATTGGAACATCTGGCATCAATTGATTTAATTGAGCTGTGCAGTGAATCAAAAGTTGAGCGCTGTCGGGCAACCAGAGATTTGAGGAGTTGTGGACGTTATGTGCAGCATGTATTGGACTCATGTGGGCATGCTTCCTTATGCAAAGAGTGTAGTCAAAGATGCGACTCCTGCCCAATTTGCAGAATTCCCATCCCAAAGAATGACAGTAGGCTTCGTCCTCGACTTTACTGTGAGTGCATAGAGGCGGGCCTCATCTCCAAAAGATGTGATGAGAGATTTCAAGAGAAAGAAGATGGTGACGATCAATTGACTGCAGATGTGCTCCGTCTCTATGCTTTGTTTGATGTTGCTATGGAGAATAACCTGGTCTCATTGATTTGCCACTGTATCCTTGACTTTGTTTTTAACGTTATCCTTTACTGTCTCCATATGCTTCTGTTTGTTGAAATTAAAATTTTGTTTTCATGCTTACTTCAGTGATTAAGGTATACCTCATTGGCGATGTGGCTAAACATGTTTTCTGTCTGCATTTTCTGTAGTTTGTGTGCTTCTCTCATGAGAAATATGAATACATAATTAAAAGATATCCTTCACAGAGATGCAGATGTTACTGATGTTTGCATGGATGAGAGTGCCGTGTCTAGCGATTCAGTAATTGCTTTCTTGTTGGATGAAGTAGTTGTGAAGGACTGGTGCAAAAGAACATTCCAGAATATCATTGAAGAGCTTCATTCGATATGTATCCTTCTGGCTCTTTGAACTTTTCTGTTGAAACTTGTATTGCTTTTTCTTTGATGCACACTTATGGGTCTGTTGCTCAGTGTCTCATTAAGTTGATGTTTTTGTCAGATGATCCTGCAGCAGAAGACATGGGTAAAAGGATTGGTTTACTTCTCAAGCTTTCATCCCATCTTGGTGAGATATCCAATGTGCTAGAAGTTCTGGATTCATCATTTAAAGGAAGCTCTTCAGCACAACTCAACGACTTGCAGTTTCTGCATGAAAGTGTCTCAAAGGCAAAGCAGGTTTATTAACTTACTAGTTTTGCTGGCCATTATAACTTCAATCTGCAGCCTCTGCATTATTCATTTTGAACCGACATCTTTGTAATAATTAAAACATGTCATTCTTTAGATATCATTCATTATTCTCCTTAAGTAGTAATTGTTGTGGTATGTTTTTGCTTGACTGATTTGCTTGATTGAGTTGGAGAAAGGTTTTATTGACATTCCCAAAGAGAATCCTGAGTCTTTGTATGAGTTCCTCTGTTCCTTTTAATGGACTTACTATTGACAATTTTGTAGCCCTTGATTTTCAGCATGCTGACATTATGGCCTGATGTATACGGAATGAATTTCTAGAAAATGTGAGGACTCGGTATGGAAATTTAGCATCATGGCGCTCTGTTGTACGGGCAAGGAAGGCTGCTGCAATTAAGCGTTCATGGCCTGATGCGGTGAATCATTCTGCTGAGTCGAGTATGCAGGCAGGTTCTCTCTTCATTGAAGATGCTTTATCAAATATTGAAATTCCTCAAGGTCATCCAGAGCACACGGAAGAAGAATTGCGGCTTGCATCTTTGCAGAAGGATAGAGAGTCACTTTTCAGGTCTAAACTAGAGGGACTGGCAATATGCTATCCTTTTGAAAGCCTCCAAGCTGCTGTTGATGCGCTCTTTCTAACCGGAAGTTCTGACACGGTGGTTGCGAAGGAGGCAATTGTATCCTATATGTATTATGCACACGTGTATGTGTGTTACAGTCATGCATATATATTGCATATTGATGCTTGATTTATGTACATTTTCATTCTTTCTTTTCCTTAATGAACGAATAGTTTCTTTACTACATTTTCGACAGGCATTGGACAACACCAGATGACAACTGGAGAAGTATCATAGATGACTTTGCAGCTACATTTGGAATAACTAGACATTCTTTGATAGAATCACTAACATTTTATCTTTTAGACGATGATAGTGATGAAGCTCTGCAGGTCAGGACTTACATGTTTGCTTCATCTCTCACTTCTCTTCTAATCAATAATATGGTTACTGCTTTTCAACTAGTTAATAATTCCCTCCTTTCAGTTGTGGGGCAAAGATTTTGGATCTTTTTTCTCTCCCTTTTATTTGTTTCTGGCTATCAGATACTAGTTTAGGTTGCATCTGAGACTTTTATGCACAATTTTGCCTGTTCTCTTTCTGAATGTGCTGTATATGTTAGCTTTTGAGCCATTGAATTTTTCATTCTATCAATTATGTTTGTTAGTGCACAAGAACAAAGGGAACTGTGAACCTGAAGTGATATCCTTCAATGTTTTGCAACAATCTTCAAGTCTTTAATCCTAGGCAATAAGTGTTGGCAATCCTGCTTTACTTTGAGTGTCATATGGTGACTGTTGAATGTGCTTATTGCTTCAGGAAGCTATTAACCTTCTTCCTGAGATCTGTGGCCCATCAACTCATCCAAAAATTGCTCAAGTATTGTTGGAACGGGGAGTTCCAGAAACAGCTTTAATGGTGCTTCGGTGGTGTGGGCATGATGGATCAGAAATCGTGTCACTTAGTGAGGCTGTTACTGCAGTCAGGGTCAGGGTGGAATGTGGACTTCTGACTGAAGCTTTCATATATCAGAGAATGCAATAGACCAAAGTTAGGGAGAAGAACTCAAAGGGAGGACCACCAAAGGCTGGTCCTGACGATTTAGAAACCAAATCCAGCAGATGGGGGGACTGGCTGGAGACTTTGGTAACTGAAATTTGTTGTCTTTGCATGAAAAGGAATTTGGTGGATCGAATGATTGAATTGCCATGGAATTCGGACGAAGAGAAGTATCTTCGTAAGTCTCTTCTTGATTGTGCCATCCATGATCCTTCAACGACTACTGGAAATCTTCTTGTAGTGTACTATCTTCAGGTAATGATTTACTTAAGCCAGTCTCCCTTCTCTCCCCCTCTCTTTTTTCCCTCACAATAGAATCGATGCTCTACTTTAAAGTAGAGCATTTGACAGAGCTCAAATCAGTGGGAAGTCGTATGGAGAGCATTGGATAATTGTATATTAGTGATAAGGAACACAGACGAAAAACAAACATTCTTGAAATAGCAAACAATCTGTTTATAGTTTGTTTCTTAGAGTATGCTGTCGTGCCATATCTAATACCGCAATTATGTAAAAGCATTTGGTGTGTGGTGAATTCCATCATTGCAGCGATATCGTTACACTGAGGCATATGAAGTCGATGTCAAGCTTCAGCATGTGGAGCAGGATTTCATCTCGATGAATTCAATTGATGAAGGAGTTCTATCAAGAATGAGGTCGACAAGTCACTGGAGGTCTGCACTCGTTGTAAGTTCTGTCATAGCTTGTCTATATTTATCACCATGATTGAGTTTTGTCAGCTAAATTTGTTATCATCCCACAATGAATTGTCGCTTCAAGTCGGCGTGCTAAGTAACTATATGCTTTGAACAGGAGAAATCTATGCAGCTGTTGTCCCCGATTCAACAGCAACTGGTTAAGGATGGTATTCTTAGAATCTGCGGCTCTACTCCTGATGAAGAGATCGATCCACCTGGAAAGTCCAACGCTACAACAGAAGAACACCCGACTTTTTCAAGCAGTTTTGTGGTTCCCTCAAATATAAAGTCTTCTTATATTGTTTTACCTTCAGAATATGCTAATCCTCCATTCAAATCATCTCTTCATCATCAAACTCCAGCAACCGTAGGTGGATCGATGACAGCCAATCGCCGGTTTGATAATGGCAATTACGGCACTCCAGCAGGGTTGAAGAATCACCACCAAGGCAGCAACATCAGCAGAAACTTAAAATTTGACGATGTCTCAAATCCCATGAAGGGGACGAGCAGATCTTCAAACCGACACCTGCATCACTACCATCAACAGGATAGTTACACCGAAATTGAAACAGATGGGTTTGATGCGACTTCTGTAAAAGATCCCATGGATGTTGTCCCTATGAGGTGAATTGTTGTAGCTTCCAAAATCAACCTTTACTTCAAAATTATATATTTATCTTTGACAGAACAAACGCACCCTTTGTTCCATGGATTAACCCCACGTCTCCTTTGACGTATTCCAGTGGTGGCAAGAAGGCTTCTTTGATCGACAAGAAGATCATAAATGGTGGGCCTAGATGGAGGTCTGATGAAACCAGTGACGAAGAAGTGGGAGAAGAGAGTCCTGGTAGAGCTGCTGCTGGTTTCACAGTCCCTTGGAGGGGTAATAGAAGAGTTAGGGTTGCCAGAAGATGATGAACATTATCTTTTATGCTGGTGATGCTGTTCTTTTTTACCAGAAGAAAGCAACAACAAACTGGAACGCCCTGCAACATCAGGGATGTGTAACAGTTGGAGCTTAGTTTCGGAGACTTCAACTGGGATAACTTCCACCAGGACCACCACCATAACACCTTATTATTACTATGATCATCGTTGCATTCTCTAGTATTACTACTACTTTCACAACTAATTTCGAATCGAAGAAAACTCGATTTCGGAAAATGTCCGAACCAATTTTTGTACGGTTTGAATTCGGTTTGCCCGATCCCTGTAACTTCCCTTCATTGGCCACTACACCCTGTCCCGTTTGGAATGCATGGGATGGGAGTTGTTCTCGACGAGGATGTGAACAATGACAAGGTGTTTCGGCCTCTTCCCTTTTCGGTTCATTGTTTCTGCATTCTAAGGTTCTGAGGTAAAACTGATATAACTTAAACATTGATCCAACTTCAAATTCACATAAAGCAACACATGCACTTTTGAGTTTAGGGTATACACATTGGTCTTTCAACGGAGAATCAGTTTCAAGTACTCAAAATGCAAGTAATTTTTTGTTGCTGCAGATGACCAATGTGAAGCTAATGCAGAACAGCAGAAGAGCAGTGAAACAATGCGCGACCATTTATGGAAGATATGGCAACTGGGTATGATCAAATGGGAGAATTAGCATCTAATATACAGAGCCTTTGAATGAAGAGGCAATAAAGTTCAATGATTTATTACAGCATACGCCGATGAGGATCTTTCAGCGAATGCCAGAAAATATAGTAAGCTTCCTCTTTATTCTCGAGTTATTTCATTTAGAGAATTGTGACCAGAATTTCAAAGAACATTTTGACGGGAAATATTATCATAAGAAAATAAAGTTTTTTTTCGAGGTCATTGTGGGCACATATCCATCAGTTCCAATGAGCCACCTCTCAATTACCTTAAGCTCTTCCCCTGCAATTTCGAAGCAGGCGGGAGAGCCATAAGTCCATGGCCATGAGACCCATAAAAAATAACCATTTTTCTCCTGTTTAGTCATTATCCCCAATCTCAGCCTCCACTCAACTTGATCTTCAACGTCGATTTGTGACGGCGAGAAACAGAAAAAAAAAAGAGAGAGAAGGTAAAGTTACAAATGGGCCTTCACTTCTCTTCCGCCCAATCCATGTCCCCCGGCCTAATATTTCGCTTCCCATACTGGGCCTTTCTCCTTCCAGTCCCTGCCCAGTTCCCCTCGAAGGACTATATGTGGCCCACGTTTCATTAGATACCGAACCAGGCCCGACACTTTATTAGCTTCTGTACGTACTATCACCAAGCAAGGAACACAGGTAGGGCTGTCAGTCGGTTGGTTTCGGTTTAACCGAAAACCGAATTCTCGGTTATTGGTTAAACCGAACCACCCCTCTCTGTTGCCGACCACCGACCGTGAGAGACATTACGGCTAGCCGACCACCGACCGGTCGGTTATCGGTTTTGACTCGGTTAGCCGCCCGCCCGAAAAAGCACTCTCTTCTCACAAAAAAAAATCATTAAAATTATTTAAAAAAAAACACAAAAAAAACCCCACCACTCAAACCTTATCACCTTCCTCCTCTCTCCTTCCTCTCTCCATTCAATCCCCCACCAGATCAGGCCACCATTTTCGTCCAAAAAAAGGACCAAGCCACCACAACACTTTTTTCTTCTTCACCTTCTGCCATCGCCAAACCACCACAACACTTTTTTCTTCTTCACCTTCTGCCATCGCCAAACCACACCAACACTTCTCTCTTCGCCACCATAACAATTCTCTCTTCTTCACCTTCTGATTTTTTTTTTGTAACTCGGAATAAGGGGAGTTGGAGGCGGACGTCGAGCCGACGCGGTTGGCGATTTGAGGAAGAGAAGCAGGGGAGAGCGCACACGAACGGCGTAGCGGAGGGCTGGGGTCGTCGCCGTGGTCGGAGAGTGGAGATGCAGAGGTACGGCGCGGCGCAGCGCTTATCGCGATGGGAAGTAGGCGGAGGGCGAGGTGCAGGGACGGCGGCGGCGAGGTGAGGTGGACGGCGGCGGCGAGGTGGACAGAGGTGCGGCGGCGGCGAGGTGGACGAAGGGGTGAGAGTTTGGTTTTAGATCTAGGGTTTTGGGGAAGGTTAGGTGAGTGGAGGTGGAGATAAATGGACAGATTTTGGGATGGTTAGGTGGGTCTCGGTTGGGGTCGGTTAATCGGATAACCGCGGTTAATCACCGTCGGTTACTCGGTCAACCGACTCCTTCCTTTTCCCAGCCGACCACCGACCGCCAAGGTAACCGGTCGGTTTTCGGTTAGCTTGTAACCGGCCGGTTTTCGGTTGTAACCGACGGTTACCCGCTAACCGGCAACCGAAATGCCAGCCCTAAACACAGGTACGGGAAAAGGTAATATGCTAATTTGAAGATTTGTAATTGATATTCCAAAAACATAAACTAATATCCAAGTATTAAAATATCTAGAGAACACAGACTAGTATTCAAAGTTTGCTAACTGATATCCACCATGAATCAACTATTATCCTAAATTCACAAACTAATATCTAGACAACACAGAATAGTATTCAAACAACTCATAATTAGTATCCAGATAACACATAAGAGTATCCATATTGAATACTAGTTGGTTGATTGTAGATATTAGTTGGTACCTGTTATCTGATGTTTTGAATACTAATCTGTGTTATCTAGATACTTAACAGACTTGGATATTAATTCGTACATTTGGGATATTAGTTAGTATATACTAACGAATCTTCAGGTTAGGAGAATAACTAGACTTCACGGGTACAGGGCTACCTTGGTTCGGTTGGACTAACATTCCCTGCCCTACTTGTAATGCAACCCCTGTCCGAGGCTATGGCGATTGGCGACAAATGGACCCTCGTCTGGAAAACGTGTGCGGCGGTACGTGTTCCATGGCTTCAGAACTCTCCTACTCATTAATTATGACTTATGAAGACTACTCGACCCGAAGCAATGGACAAAACAGAGAGAATTTCAATACATTCTACTGCTGGTGGTGGAAGAATCAAAAAGCTTCTCCTGCTGCCTCTGCTAGGAGGAAGAGTAAATAGCAGAAAAGCTCTCTGTTTCTTATTCTGCCCCTCTGCATATTCGGTTGACCTGTTGTATTCGGTGAGTGTTTCTTTAAACAGTTGGTCGGTTTGTTGGTGAACGAATACTTTAATAATTATCAAGTAATGGTTTTTTTTTTCTTTCTCTGGGGTGGTCTTTGTTCTTTCTCCATTGGGGATTCGGAGCGCTCTTATTTTGTTTACTTCTTAATTCTAGATTTGCCATTTGGGTTTCCTCTCTCTTGTCAGTCGTCACCATTATAGCCGCCCATTTCCTTCCCCTCCTCTTGTTGCTCAATTATTCTTGACTTGGCTTCTTTCTTTCTATTTGAGGCTCTAAAGAAACCAATTTTCTCCCGTCCCCTGTTTCCCCATTTCGAAAGGGTAAGCATAGCAAAACAGCTAGCTTTCCACTATACTCTGTTTTCTCCTTTTGTCCAATTTCTTCTCTTTTTTCCCGTGGTTAATTGCTTACTTGCTCAGGTTAGTTGAATGTCCTTAAGTGGGTTGTTGGAAATTGGAATAGTGGGGAGGAACTGAGGAAGTTGTTATGCAATGATTAATAATGAGTGCTTTGATAAATTGGGGTTTGTCTTTTGTGGGTGGGGAAGGCTGAGAATTGGATTAGGTGGAAGATAATGTCTGGAATTATTCTTTTTAGTTCATAGTTTCATATTCAGACTGTTGATGCCTTAAAGCGCTTGCTGCTGCTGTTGCTGTTGCTGGGTTTTCTCACATTCCCGCAATTTGGGTTTCTTGCTGTGGAATTTTGAGTGGTGATCAGGGTTCAAATGGAGGAGAGGTATGAGCCTATCAAGGAGCTTGGTTCAGGGAACTTCGGCGTGGCGAGGCTGGTGAAAGATAGGAAGACTAAAGAACTTCTTGCTGTGAAGTACATTGAAAGAGGGAAAACGGTGATAACTTTCATTTCCCATGCTTCTTAGATTTTTGTGATGTTTGGAATTCCAACAATCACAGTTTACAGTAGTGTTTTGAGAACTATCTACTTCCAGAGTTTTAGATGGATTGAGGAATTTCATTAGGGTTTGTGCCTTCATCTGTGAGATACATTGCATTGTGATTTGAGATATATGCTCTAACTGTGCGAAAGAAAGTCTAGCATCATGTAAAAAAATGAGTATGCCAAGTTGTTTCTGATGATCATGCTTTTTGTAGAAGTCATTTGTTGACATGAACTTTCTTATTGGTGGGTGGGATCATTCCTAGGCCAAAAGTGGCCGAGTTCAACACCATAGGTGAAGAAATTTAGACAATGTGGAAGTTGAGTATGGTACCCTTTTGAACCAAGATATAGGAGCTTCTATTGGAAATGGCTATCGTCTTTGAGAGGTCTGATGGTGAATTATGCTGGATGAGTTGATTTAAGATAGTGCTGCCTGCTTGTGCTTAAGAGGGTAGGGTTAGAACAAAACTTGATTCCCTCACTAGATCATGTAGGGTTCGGGATTTTCGAGTTAGTAAAGTTTCTGTAGACGTCCTTACTAGGCTGGGTATGCTTCTAGTACTTTATTGCCTTATCTACGAAATCAATGGTTCTTATCCTGCAAACAGCTTAAGCATTTTTTCAATAACTGTTTTAACATTTGCCGTCACCATAAAATATCCCCGCTCCCTGCCAAATGCTGTCATCTTTGTTGGGTGTGCATACGTGCCACGGTCATTATCATCGTACATAAGAAAACATCTATACATGTTAAAAATCATGCAATTTTGTCTTCAAATTGGTGGTACCATGTGTGATTGATTTTGATGTATTGGTAGAAAACACTTTGACTTGACAAGAACTTTCAAATTATTTGAATCCATGATGACCTCCTTCATTAGTATGTCTTGTTTACTTGTTATGCCTTTTTAAGTACCCATCATCAGAACTATTCTGTACTAAAACATAAAATCAATCAGCCTTTGATGTCTGATAAATATAAATAATTGGTAGTTAGTTTGGTTGCTGCTAGATTTGAATTGCCTTTACCCACTTGCTGGGGGCAGTTGTTGAGAACGAGAAGTTAATAGTATTTTCCATTGGATGAATATTTTATCTGGGTTTTTAACAACAAACAGGGTCACAATCATTCTAGGTAATATTTGTCCATTTGCCAACATGATGACAATCAGAAGTTAATTGTGAGTTTCATTGAGTCATCTTTTTATCTGTTCTTGAACTGGTAAACAGAAGGTCACGATCATTGTAGTTTATATGTGTACAAGAATCAGAAACCCAATTAAGACTTTCAATTCGAGATTATTTGATGATGTCTTGTTTTCTGAAATTTGACCTGATATTGCATTTCCTTACCTAATTCGGCTTCCAAATATGACCTTGTTATGTTTGTTCGTGTAGTCATACTGCCAAGTTTCCCGCTTTCATGTCTAGTTGAGCTAATTTGAGATGTAAAACATTAAACTGGAGTGCTTTGCTTATGGTTTCAGATTGATGAGCATGTCCAGAGAGAAATCATCAACCACAGGTCTTTGAGGCATCCAAATATCGTGAGGTTCAAAGAGGTAAGCCTATAACTTCTCAGATGACATCCAAGTTTGTGGTTGTTGTGTGATGATAGTTAGATTTACTGCACAGCTACACGACTTTTACCTGGCTTTGATCTTTACCTATTGCAACCATGAATTGTTTTTCACACTTAGCACCAGGCTGTATTTCTATCTGCACAGACATTATGCTAGGGTACATTATGGAAATATTACTTGTGGTCTCAAAAACTCAAATGACTTCTTTCTTTCAAGTTCTGTATGAGCAGAAAAGTGCTCTAACCTGCAGGTTTGGCTGACTCCAACACATCTGGCCATCGTCATGGAATATGCAGCCGGCGGAGAACTGTTTGCAAAGATATGCAGTGCTGGACGTTTCAGCGAAGATGAGGTTTTTGTCAAAAAGTGGTAGACCGTAGCTACATTTTACTTTCTTCAGCACGTCTTCTTAGTTCTTACATTCTGTCCTATCCTTTTCATGCAGGCTAGATTTTTCTTCCAGCAGCTAATATCTGGAGTCAGCTACTGCCACTCCATGGTAGTTTACCAGAAACCTTCAACTGCATTTTCGTTTGGGCAATGTCTATTTTTTACCCAAACCTTTTTCAGATTCTTTTATTTTAACCAAACCTTTTGAATTCCTAAAAATTATCCAAACGTTAACTCTCCGTCAACTTTTCTGTTAGTAATGCTGACTAAGTATGACCATAATGAGTTGACTTCCTACGTGGCGGTCAGAATACCATCATTTACCATTTTTAATAAAAAGATTATAAAAAAACAAAACAAAATCTCACCTCTCAAGTGGACGAAATAAGTAACGGTAACAGAATGAATGCCCAGACTTTGATAAATTAGAATACGTTTGGATAATAAATAGAATTTCTATAGGTTTGGTTAAAATAAAAGAATCTGAAAAAGGTTTGGGTAAAAAATAGACAATGCCCTTTTCGTTTCTATATATAATTCTCTGATATGTTTTCCACTTTGCAGGAGATATGTCACAGGGATCTGAAACTTGAGAACACGCTTCTGGATGGAAGCCCTAGTCCCCGTCTTAAAATATGTGACTTTGGTTACTCAAAGGTTAGCTTTGTGTGATTATTTTCCCCCATTCGGTTCTTTTTATTTAATCCGAGCTTCATTCTCTTACTCCTCAGTCTTCGTGTCTCAGTCTGGTCTATTGCATTCACAACCCAAGTCGACTGTGGGAACTCCAGCATATATCGCCCCGGAAGTCCTATCACGGAAGGAGTATGATGGGAAGGTATTGGATATATATATTATGACTTTGTTATGGACATAAACCGTAGCTTTGTAGGGAATCTGCTACTCCACCTTCATCCTAGCTTTACATTGACAATATGTACTGCCGAAAAATAAGAAATCAAAGGGAGATGAAAGAAGCTGAAGTGATGGTTGAAACAGCAGATCATTCACTTCCTATTTCCCCTGTTAGTTTGATGGTTTATCATTTTTAGATTGCAGACGTTTGGTCATGTGGTGTGACGCTCTACGTGATGCTTGTCGGAGGATACCCTTTTGAGGATCCTGATGATCCAAGGAACTTCCGCAAGACCATTGGGGTGAGTTATTAAGTACAACCCTTTGTGGTAGAGAAGTATTCTTCATATTATCTCTATCCAACTTGTTGCACGGTTAGCTAAAATCTTTCTGTGTGATAATCACAGAGAATAATGAGTGTCCAGTACTCTATCCCCGATTATGTACGCGTTTCTGCAGACTGCAAGCACCTCCTTTCTCGTATTTTTGTAGCCAATCCTGCAAAGGTACTGGTTTACTCATTCGCTTCCTGGAAATGTTGTTAAGTTTGGTCTTGTGTGGATGCACTCGGTTTGGTTTGGTTATGATGTTCCATGTATTTGATTTGATTTTATTGCTTTGATTGGTTCCATTCGCAACCAAACTAACCATTTGAAAATCTCCCTACATAAGAGGATCACCATTCCGGAGATAAAACAGCTACCTTGGTTCCTCAAGAACTTGCCCAAGGAACTGGTCGAGATTGAGAAGACTAACTTCAGCGAAGCAGGAGGCTGTGAGCAACCAGCTCAGAGCGTGGAGGAGATAATGCGTATCATCGAAGAGGCGAAGGTACCAGGGAAAGGTGCCAAAGCTGGCGGCGAGCAAGCTACTGGCAGTGGTGCTGGGACGTCGGATGATTTGGGAGGTTCCTTGGAACTGGAATCTGACCTTAGCGGTGACTATGTAGCTCAAGTGTAAGCATTGCGGGGAGCTGGAGACTTTGGATTCCTTGATCATGCCATTAAGACACTCTTTCGTGTAAATTCCAGTTGCTCAATGTCTTTGCTTTCTGGATTTGGGTTCATGGTTGTGATATCAAATGTCTCAATGGTGCCTTGGGAAACCATTTCTCTGCCAATCAAAAGAAGGATCCTACTGTATCTTAACATGTATGTGCAGTTATTATGATATTTCAGATCAATACGGTTCGATTCAGTTTCAATAATTCAAGACTTTTCATTTCGATTCAAAAATTCTATCTTACTGAAAAATTTAGATGCAACGGAATCGAGTCTGATGCTTTTTTCGATCCAGTTTTAGTCCTCTTCCCTTTAATTTCAGTCTGGTCTTGTGGCAATTCAAATTGAACTGGTCAAGATAAAACGGGTGACTTAGTTGCAGAAGAACTTACCTGGACCGGTGGTTCAAACCGAATCAACGTTGACCATTGCTACAGTAACCTGAGTCTAATTCAGTATGGGTAAGCAATGGGTGGTTTTATGTCAATTTGGGTGGGTCTGAACCCAGTAATTACGTGGTAAATTAAGGAAAAAATGACCATAACCACCCAACATTTATTTGTGGGTAGATTGGGTTGGGTTGTGTGATTACAGATGTTGGGCGGTTGGTGGGTTTATAACATACATTCGAAACTTTAGACCACCCGTACTTATCCAAACTTTAGTGAGTTGCCTATTTTAGAAAGCATACACACCCATATGAACCACCCACAACATAATGAGGGGGTCGATTGTGGGTGGATTAACAGGTAAGAATCAATTGCTATCGAACTTGACCGAACAACAATCCTTCCTCTGCTAGCAATTTCAAAATGTACAATCCTCGTAAGCAACTAATACCCTGTTTAGTAAAATCTTTCGTTTCAGTTTTCTATTTTCGTATGTGAAAACATAGACGAAAAACTAAGGTCATGTTTAGTATTATTTTCCTTTTCCATTTTCACATTTGAAATCACATTTGGTTTTGTTTTTATATGTTGTCGTGCCAACAGAAGTTGGCAACACAACATAAATTAACTGAAAACAACAATTATTGTGAAACCGTATTAAAAGTTATTCTGGAAAAGTTAGTGATAGAATATTTTGTACTATAATCATTGTTGAACCTCCTGCTAAAATCGCCTATCGTTTGAGGTCTGATATCCATATTTCTGGTTGAACCAGACGGTTTGGTAGAATTTCTAAAACATTGTGAAACAACTTTAAATAGTTCCCTTATTGTTTCCAAAAGTTTTTTTTAATCATATCCTTATTGTAATAATGTCATTCAAAAGATTCTATGACCAAATCTCACAACTCATCCATCATGTCACTTTATTCCTCTAATAATTTTTCTACTTTCATCTTATTCTCAAAATTAATACTAAACAAAGCCTAATGAAATAACTAAACTAATACTAAACAAAGCCTAATGAAATAACTAAACATATGGAATTGTTAACTTTCATCAAGTCGGCATCCACAGCATCAACATATCAAATTGTCAACTTCCACAAAAAGCTGGGTCAAAATGCAGTCGTTTAGCGCTTGAACCAATTTCCAGATTTACTGTACATAGCCTAGCTTAGCTGTCCATTGGTTGTTAACTTGCTATTTTGATCGACAGTTATTACCGTTGTAGTAGTGATTAGCAGCTCGGTTGTTGCATCTGCTGCAGCCTGCTTGCTCCTTAGTCCTTTCTCCTCCTCCTCTTGTACCTTGTTTATCCTTTTTATATTCGCTTGCATCTTGTTCTTATTTCTTGTTTCTTAAATGCATTTCTCCTCGTTATAAAAAGGTTTAATAGACTTGTATATCCAAAACTTTGACGGTTGTGTGCCAATAATATCTAAATATCCCGGAATATCACTTATATCCATGTTTTAAAGTTGTTTTTTTGCCAAATCTATCCATTTCCCAATATATTTTTGGTTAAATACACTTATATATCCAAAAACACAGTTAAAGAATGTGAAGGAATTGGATATAAGTTGTATTTCGGGAAATTTGAATATTATTGGCACCGTGAAAGTTTTGGATATACAAGTGTATTTAACCTTATAAAAATAACAAATAGTGATTAGCAGCCTAAGACCATCTCCATCCAATTGCTTATATCTATTGCTTATTTAGTGGGATCCTAGGTGGCACCACTTTTAAGCCATTGCAAGGATGTGGGGGTGCTTTCTTATTTAGCAAGATTGCTAAATAAGAAATTCATCTTGCAATGCCACATAGGATATCTTTTATTTTTCAATTACTTTTTCCTTCTTTGTTATGTGGTAAGAAATTGTATGGGTCCACTATTGGCAATTGCTTATTGGTTTTAGGGATGTAGGGGTTTGAAAATTATTGCTTGATTGATTATGTGGCGATAAAGGCCCACTTTAGAAATTGCTTATTGATTGCAGGGATGGAGATGGTCTAAGCTTTGTAGTCTTGTAGAGTCAGCTATGGTGATGTATATAAAAGGCCCTTTGACCGGGTTTCCCCCATCTTATCCTTTTTCATGATAAATTCGACGGCCGCCGTTAGACGATGACAGTATCCACGGCGAAGCTCCCGGTCATAGACCTCTCTTCTCCCGATCGCTTATCCACTGCCAATTCAATCCGTCAGGTTTCGAAATCGTCTTTTGACTCCACTTTAACCACTCTCTCCATCTCCCTGATTCTCTTAATTGCTTGCTGGATTCTTCTTCTCAGGCATGCGTCGACTACGGCTTCTTCTACCTCGCGAATCACGGAGTGGAAGAAGAACTGATCGAGATAGCGTTCGAGGAGAGCCGCAAGTTCTTCTCGCTTCCGCTGGACGAGAAAATGAAGCTGCCTCGCAAGGAACACAGAGGCTACTCTCCGTTGTACGCCGAGAATCTCGATCCGGACTCCAGTTCCAAAGGTTCTTGTTAATCGGCGGTTAATTCCGCCATCGTTGGCGTTCGTTTTGCTGCTTTGTGATTTTTTTGTTAGGGCTATTCTGTATCAGGTGACTCGAAGGAAGCTTTCTACGTTGGTCCTGTACGTGGTTCCGGCAACAAAGCGGAGCTGAACCAGTGGCCTTCTCCAGGTACTGTAATCATTCCCCAATGTTTCCGCTAGTACTTTTGAATTGAGCTGTGTGCAACATTACTCCCTGTTGTTGTTTGGATGAGGAAATTTCAGAAGTTCTTCCTTCATGGAGGTCGACAATGGAGTCTTATCATGGAAAGGTCATGTAAGTCATGATATTGTTAATCAGTTCCGAATGAATTTCTTCATGCTTGCAAGAGTCTGTTCCTTTGGACTGGAAGGTGTGAGTAGTTTACCTGCTGCTGATTACTGCCTCAGGTCAGCTGCAAGAAGACTAATCTCCTTGATTGCTCTGGCTTTGAAATTGGATGAAGATTACTTTGTCAAGGTTGGAGCCCTGGATGATCCGGAAGGCTTTCTTCGTCTCTTACATTATCCTGGTAGAATGTCTTTTTCATAAGTGTACTTCCTCGATTGCATGTCTATAACTACGAGCTTTCTTGGTCCTTCGAATTCTATGGAACAAGAAAAATAAAAACTTAAGAAGCTGAAAGGGAAGCTTATCCTTGTTATTGCTCATAAATCTGATGTCAGGTGAACTGGGTTCTTCTGATGAAGAACCAATATATGGTGCTTCTGCACATTCAGACTATGGAATGACCACTTTACTCTTAACTGATGGTGTAGCAGGACTCCAGGCATGTGTTAACTGATGCATCAAGTTTGATTCTAACAATTAATGCTGAATCATGAACTACCGTCATGGTTAACTAATGGTGTGAATGTGATTTCCATGAATTTGAATGTTGATAGCCATCTTACAGGGCTCTGCCTGATAGCAGGTCTGTAGGGAGAAGTGGAGACAACCTAGGGTCTGGGAAGATGTACCACAGATACATGGGTGAGTTCACAATTGCTAAAAGAATCTATGCTTCAGTATTGTGAAAGGTGTGGTATTTAGGTTGAGCAGTGTCTCTTTAGTATATCCATTCCCTTCTGTATGAAAACAACAAAATTCGTGATAAGTGAAACAAGTTGAATGCTTTAGTTCAAGCCTATCTGATACTCCTGGTTTCCTACTATAATGTGCTTGCAATGCAACTTCCTTGCTTGAGCTTTACTCCTATCATTTTGTTAATGCATCTCTAATCCCAGGTGCTTCATCGTTAACATCGGAGACATGATGGAGAGGTGGACAAATTGCTTGTTCCGGTAATTTTCCTTCCTCCTTTCTTGTGAACTCGAAAGGGCAATCCTTCCCTTCCCCCTTTATAACAACTGTAGGAAGCCTATTTTTAGGGTTCCAACGAATGTGTTTGGAAATTGGGAATTGGTAGAGATTTAGGGATTTTAGAAGAGAAGTAGGGATTAGGAACAGAATTGGGGATTTAGGAATTTGAGAAGAGAATTTGGGGAAGAATAGAGATAGAATGGCCGAAACCTTTAGAGAGAAAGATAGACGAGATTGAGAGAAGATTAGGGATTTGGGGAGATGACTTTTCTTATTAATTTCTGCTTAATCTGAAGAATGACCCAAAATACATATATATAGGGAAATACTAGAAAACCCTAAGAATAAACCTAATTCTACTAGAAGACTACTAACCATAATAAGAATTATCCTAATAATGATTATAATAATAATATAGAAAAATCGTGTTTCCCACATCTCCTCCCCCTTCAGACCAACCTTGCCCTCAAGGTTGACTGACTTGACCCATTTCTTCACATCTCCCGCGCAATCCGCGTTTTGTCTTCTCCACTCCTTGCGTTTTCTTGTCTTCCAATTGTGCTCCACTGCTCGAATGAATCCCACACCAGCCACCTCGACTCCCATTGCTTCTTCTTTACCCACGTAGCTCGTGTCGCAATCATGGCCAAATGACCCTTTATCCTCCTCAAACTCTACCAAGTAAGAATCATAGAGTTCCTCTTCTTGGAGCCCATCATCTAAGCCCATGAACCCATCTTTATCCTCTTCTAAGCCCATACCAAAATAAAGAGATTCAACTAAACAACCCAGTTGAAGCCCAATTAAAGTCTGCAAACGCGGACCCACTTCCTCAAAACTGGACCATGGCATCTGGTCCATTTCAAGCTTCGGCCCAATCTCTTGCTCGGCCCATTTCACTCTAAATTTCTGTTTGCTCAATTGATCTGTCGGGCCCAGACTGAGCCCAGTAGTCTTCATCTCCACAACTGGGTCCGGCCCAATACCATAAAGAAGGCACTCGGTCAGACCGCCTTTGTGCGACCCAGGACCCGGTCGAACCCACTTGCGATCCGTCCTTTCTTTCTCGGGTCGGTCCACGCTTCGTGGCCCATTCGCATTTTGGGCCCGGTCAGCCATGCGGCCCAAACAGTTGTCTAGGGTTGGCCACCTAGGCTTGGCGAGAGGATTGAAGCCGCCGCCGCCAACTTCCTCTTTTGCCCGCGACGTTGTCGTCGTTTGACCCTCACCGCCGATCTGTTTCCCCAACGGCCCGGCTCCGAGACAACGCCGCCTTCCTTCTCCAGCAGCGCTCTCTCCGGCGACTCTTCTCCCGGCGGTGCGCCGCCCTCGGAATGGCGTCGCAGGCGAAGAACCCTGGCGGCTCTGCCCCTCCTTCTCTGGCGTCTCTCCCTCCATCGCCATGGGTGGGCTGGTCGGCGTCACCCGCGCGACTCGCGCCGACGGCGAAGACTCGCGGTGGTCCTGCTCCGCTTCTCTCCTCGCAGTCGTCGTCCGGCTTGGAACCGACATCAATCGCGCAAGGGAAGCAGCCGCGCCGATCCCGTGCTTCATCGTCTCTTCGGATATCGTCCACGCATAGAGAGCCGCCGCTGATTGCTGCACAGCTCGCGGGATTCGCGGATCCGGCAAGCCTGTCGTGAGGCTCGTCATCGATTCGTCTCCGGGTCGTCCTTCATTGCTTTCGTGGAGCTTTGCCCATGTCCCGGAGTTCCTGTCCATCCCTTCCGCGTCGTCGTCGTTCCGCGGACGAGGAACAAGGGCTGCTCCTGTAAGCTTTTTCTTTCGAAACTTCCACCCATCAGTCGGGGGGTTGGATGGGGATGCTTTCTAGGAGACGCACCCAACGACTTCTCCGATCCCTAGGATGTTGTTCGCTGTGGAGGGGTGCTCGCCCTCAACTCTGGCAGTGGCGGTTGCTGCTGTCCACGACGGCAGGGGTTGAACCGTCGCAATCAGCTTCGTTGTCGACGTGTGGAGCTGAACGACAGCAGCAGCAGTAGCAGCTCCCCCAGTCATGTTCAGTAACGCATACAGGTGGCGGGAAGCAACGTTCCATTCATATTCAGTCGTTCTAACAGGTGGCGGGAAGCAACGCTCTTTTCCAGCGGGAACCAACGATCAAATTATGCGGGAACCACCGGTCACTTCTTCCCTTAATTCTAGAGTTTATCCATTTAAATATCACCCTTTATCTTGATCAGCTCCATACTTATCCCTCGCTCAAATTCCTTCATCTCTCTAAAGTTGTTTTTTCCAGATTCACAGTGTCTCTTTTAGACTCTCCCCCAGTGCAACAATCACCACCATCTCCTTCAAGCTATGGAAAAGGAATCCAGAAGCTAACTCCTCTAAGTGGAAGAAAATCTCTATGTTCAGACATCGATCCTGGTACAGCAAAGCAAACAAATCCACCACATCATCGCCAGGTCGCCGGAAACCACCCATCACTTTCGATGACTGCCGGTACCCACCCATCACTTCCGATGACCGCCGCCAACTGCAAACCATAATCAAAATATTAATTATCAGCAATAATGCAACCCTACCGTTTCACGGTTACAGAGTAATAAACTCTGAAACGGTTTTCACCGGAAAAGCCTTAATTGGGCTTTCAAATCGTCTAATTCATGACGAGCTAGAGCTAATTAAAGCTCCAAAAAACAGAGCAATATGCGGACTCTCTATCAGTCATAAAGATAGGCGAAGTGTAAGGGGAATTCCAAATCAAAACCATGACAAAGCTCACATTAAAAACAGACTTCTACAAATCAACTTCAAATTAGTGAGCAGAATAACGGTTTGTACCGGAAAAAGAGTTAATTTGATCTTAAAAAATCAATCTCCATTTGGGAAGGAGACTCAATTATCCCACAGCCTCAATTTCGGCAGACAAGAGATTAATGCCATATTAAAGTCAATTTTCCTCTTAATGATCAATCATCAACCAACAGTTACAAATCCGGTGAAAAATTGGATTACAGGAAGAAAAATTTCAGGCACTAATTCGCCTATCATTAAGTGCTATAACCATCTAATTACCTTCTTTTATACCCAACAGGTGCAGAGAACCCTCTTCCATCCTCAATCAATCAAACCATTCACTAGCATCTCACCTTTCCTTATCCCTAGCCAAAACTTCAAATCAAAGGAAAATATTCCAACAATGGCAGCCCCAATTGAATTCAATGATGAAGTTCTTGAGGCGGGACTTACCAGAGCTGGTCTAAGCTTGGTCGGTCGTCTGCTATGCTCCACCCATCCTTCTCGAATCAGAGTCCAACATATGGCCAACAACCTTTGGGCTAAAAGAGCTCCGGTGACTGTATTGGATGCTAAGCACGAACTGTTCCAGCTCGTCTTCTCAAATCAAACCGATCGGCAAGAGGCTCTAAAGAAGGCGCCGTGGTTTATCGAGTCCAAGATCTTCACTTTCAAAGAATGGGAGACGCCATCAGAACGGCTATACCACGATCTCGCCCGAGTCCCATACCTGGTCCAGTTCTGGAATCTCCCAGAGGAATATCGAACGGTCGCGTTGGGAAGATTGCTGGCCTCACGTCTGGGCACGGTGGAGGAAGCGGGGATGTATGCAGTCTGGCAGTCGCCTGGCTGTGTCTTCAAGGCCAAAATCCTGATCGATGTCTCCGCTCCCCTTGAGCACAAACTGGAAGCAAGGAAGCGAAGTGCAGATGGTACGCTGGGCGAGACCTTCCGGGTAAAGCTCAAATACGAAAACCTCAAGGTGGTTTGCTTCAGATGTAGGCGAATCGGTCACAACCAGGAGAGCTGCTCCTTCGATCTGGTCACTGGTGACGACGGTTTCGGCCCGGAAATCTTTGGAAAGCGAACCGGCTCCAAACTGAACGAAAACTCATATGCCTCTGCGAAAATTGAGAAGAAGAACTGGAGGAGTAATGTTTGGAGAAACGATTTCGCTCCAGTTGCTCCGCCGCGAAGACAGTTCCTCCTAGAAGGGCCAAGTCGCCGACCGTCTTTCAATCGCCAAGGAAGGAACTCTGGAAACCTAGCCTCCCAAAACACGTCGATCTCCCAGGGGGGAAATTTCCAAAAAGCCGCCAGCGAGGCCCTCAATGATTTGGGAGCCCAAACCCATCCCTTCACCAGGCCGAGGTTAGCTACTAGTGGGCCGGGTCTAAACGGGCCAAGTCTAAAAACAAAGGACTTGGATGAAGGGCCCAGCAAGCTCCAAGCCTGTCAAGCCCACAAGTTCGCCAAAGAAAAGGAGATGATCACGTATCAAGAAGCGAATGAGGCTCAAAAGCTGCAGTTCCAGGCTGCCTCACCATCTTACGAACTAGGTAATCTATTTTGCAGTGAGGATCCTAGCTTTTTATTTGAAAATATGGGAGATTCTCACCTTCTTGTCATGCAAGATTTTGAGCTTGAACTAGACAAAACAGGCAATAAGGAAATCTCCACTGACTCAGCACAATCATGCTCACCAATTGGGCGCGTTTTAGATGGTGAGTCTAAAGGGAAAGCTATTATGATAGAGTCATCGGGTTCACCAAAAGTCTACACAAGGAGAAACAATGGCATCAGTATTCGAGAGCCGGAGGAAGGCGTAGTGGAATCAGTTCCAAAACGTCCTAAGGTGATAGAAGGAAAAAGGGTGGAGGAAGCCAACCCAAAGTGGCCCCAACCCGATAAATGAATGTCTACGCGTGGAATTGTCAAGGAATCGGCAGCACCTTGACTTCCAAGACGCTGAAAGCTTGCCGCAACATTGCCAAGTCATTCTTATTTTTGTGTGAAACTATGTCTCCTAGTGACAAAGTCAGGTCTTTTATTTCTACGTTAGGCTTTTCAGATTGTCATCCTGTCGATCCTACCGGCCTGTCGGGGGGTCTAGTCTTTGCTTGGCCACCTTCAACATCAGTCTCGATTCTGGGCTCTTCTCCTTGTTATATTGCCATATCAGTCATCAATAATAATGTCCTTTGCTATGGAGATTGTC